TTTTGGGTGCTCAAGACTGTGTGCGCACATAAAATTAATTTTTGCATTGAACATTTTCCCAATAGTGTAATCAAGCAAAAAAAAATTGTGTCGGTATCCTAAAAGTGCTATTCTAATAAATAACACAAAAGAAACAAAGGGAACTGTATGATAACCGTTTTTTTTTTCACTAACATTTTTCTTTCGATCAATCAAAATGCAGACTGATTTTTTGTCAAATTTAACAATGAAATATAATGGCAGCTCCGTTGGTTTTGTCGAATAAAATTTACAAAATTTGTATGTCTAGAATTTTTTCATGGACTAAGTTTTGTGGTATTGGATGATACTATCATCCAATTGCACAAAACTCAGTCCGTGGAAAAGCTTTTTTGGACAATGGAGGTCAAGGCGGGTAGCTTTGTTTGATCTATAGTGGTTAAATATTTGCAGATCTGAAACTCAATCAATTTGAATTACTTGATGTGGTTTCCCATTTCTCAGTTCTTCAGTTAATGATCTTGGTATATTCGGTCTGATATTTCTTAGTCTAGTTCAAAGAGAGCCAATGCTTATTCGGGATCCGATTGTTAATTTAGACCCGGTTGCTGATTCGACTGCTTCTCGCTTTTCTTTCGCACCAGTTCTTGAAGTGCTTTGGTTCTCTTTTCCTCAGCAACAGAGAGGCCTCAAAAGTTTGGAGATAATCGAGAGCCTGTTGCCGAGAAGAGCCGGGACACCATCTCGAATTTGTTAGCCCAAATAACCCGTATAAAAGCATTTCCAGCAGGAAGAATCGATCGTCCTCATCGGGGTCTTTGTCAATGAACGAGGGAAACATATCGCGGAGATCGCCAAAAAAGTAAGCAAACCATTGAAGAGTTCGTTTTTGGTATACGGCTGCCAAGCTATTGTCAGCCGTTCTCAGCATCGCATGAACCGCAGCACAAGCACGACTTGTCTGGCTCTTTAGAAGTTTTCGTTCGTAAAAGTTTTGTTGTTTCAAAGACATGTCAAGCGTAAACTCGTCTGTGACACAACCGAACTAAAACACAATATATCTCAATGAAAAATCAGAATAATATTTAATAACCATAACTATGGTAATCATGATAATAATATTAATAGTTATCATAACAATCTTAATAATCTTTAAAAGAAAAAAATCATAATGACATTACGGGGCCAAGCTCTGCACTGGATAGGCGTACAATTTTGCGTCTATATGTTCTTGAGTTACTGAGACAAATATTTCAACAAATGTAAGTGGCTTCCCTGTACAAATATTTTGTGGGTTCCGCGTACAACTACCTGTAACGTTCAATTTGTCGGCACATTTGTTTTGTTGCGGATTATGCAACAAGCAAAAATAGCTAGTTGTTCTGGATTCCGCAACTGTAATTGGATTCCGCAAAATGTAAGTGGAATCCGCAAAATGTAAGTGGAGTCCGCTAATTGAAATTGAATCCGCAAATAAGATGCTGAATCTACTTACAAATTGCGGCTTTCACTTACTATTTGCGGATTCCAATTAAAAATTGAGGATTCTGCTTACAGTTGCGGATCAGGCAACAGCTCAATATAAGTATACATGTCTTATTATTTGTTTGTGGATTCCACAAACTGTTCTGGATTCCGCAAATACAGTTGCGGACTTCGCAAATTCAGTTACCATTTCGCAAATTTCACCTATTTTGGAGCAATTTTGAGCGGTACAAGGTTTTAAGTATTTGTTTCGAGAATCCGAAACAGCAAAGAATATCAAAGAAAAGTAGCAATGTTGCGACAAATTTGATTTTGACCTGTAGCGGAATCCTTTTACAATGCACAGAATGCACAATTTGGCCTCGTAATGCATCATAAAAACTAAAATATTAACCATAATAATAACTATGGTTGTTAAGTGACCAAAAATGAGAAAAATGAAAAAAAAAAATAAGAAACAATAGAAGGAAGAGGATGAAGAACTAAAAGAAGGAAGAAAGAAAGAGAAAAAGAAGAAAAAAGAAGAAAAAGAAGGAAAAAGATGAAGAAGGAAGAAGAAAACGAAAAAGAAGAAGGAAGAAGATGAAGAAGAGAGAAGAAGAAAAAGAAAAAAAAGGAAGCAGGAGAATAAAAATAAGGTTTAATTCTAGTTTTAAAACGATTAAAAACTATCAGAAAAAGAACCTATTACTAAAAAAATCAATTTCAGTCAATGCAATAGTAGTTTTACACTTGCTAGAACACCCTTCGAGTGATCGAGATCATGACTTTTTTCCTAGGAACAGCTATCATACAAATATGTAACAAAACCTGCTGTTTCTAAATCGTGCAATTATGTGCGGATTTAAACGATTCATGTAACAGCCATGATGCATAACTTCCAATCACACAGCAAATTACAAAAACTTCAAATTACGAAAAACGTTCTTTGGATTCGTGGCAGGGTTGGGAAAAATCGTTTTGTTTTAATTGAAAAAAAAAGAATTAAACATTTTAAAACAGTTTGTCCAGCTCTAGCTTTCTGCCCTCATACCGAGGATCTGATAGATATGCGTCAAGAAAAATGGGAGTCAGATGGTCATCTCTTCTCTTGCTACAAAATGATTCAGATGATAAGTGCAGCATTGCTGAGATCGAGCAGGCCCAACAAGGGAAGGTGGCTCATACCCATATCGCAGCGGTTCGACTCCCAGACAAAGCTAGTTTTTTTTGCGATATAAGTGTAAAAATAAAAAATTTATTTTTTATTTTCTGTTTTACAACGTGTTTTTTTGCCTTGTTTTAAAACATGTTTTAAACATTCCTAACCCTGATTCGGGACTTGGTTCTATTTTCAGCCGGCCCAGTTTTCCTTTTTAAATGAGAATTACTTGTGAAAAATTTAGTTTTCTTTTTTACTGAACCTTAACAAATTCAAGGTTCCTTCCCACCTGGTCAACAAGTAACCAAGATTCTGTTCCAATTCGAAGTCCGACGTTAGAGACCCGGTCGGAAATCTATTGTTTCAAAATAATTGAAAATGAAATTTTTCGTTTCAATCAAAATTTACTATGATTGACGTCGTCCTGGTTTTTCATCAACTTACCCAACCATCGGAAGATCAGATTTGGAAGATGCTTTCTCAAGTTCGATTTTTGCAATCCAAATTATATCGCCCTATGTTTCATTTTTTTATTTTGCCGGTTAAATTTTTTAAGAAACAAGACGTTTGTGGTGTAAAAGCTTCAAGTCTTAAAAACTGTTCAAAAACTTTTCTAGAAAACAATTTCTTGTGGCATGTTTTTTTTGTTTTTTGCTCACAGTGCACCTTCCCAATTTTATCTGCTTAGTGGCTGCTCTATCAGTGATGTTAAAAACAATTTAATATTGGTGGCTGTTTCGTGGCTGTTTTTTCTTGAAATTGTTTTTATTCTTTTGTCAAAAATGTTGTTTTTTTGGTTTTTTTTCGACTGTGATTTCCGTTTCATTCTGTATTCGCTAGATTGCAAAGCTACAATTGCTGTTATTGCAAGTGCCTTGTCATCACAAAACAATTACATCAGCGACGGTGCTACTCGTTTTTGGCTAATCGGCCGTAAGTTTGCGTTCAAAAGAATTGCCATCACGTCGTTTTCGCTCTATTGAATTATATTCGACAATTTTCGACAGACTTGAGATTGGGTGTCAACTTTCACAAGCTCCACTTTTGAAAAAATTTTCACAAGACGTCTTTTTTGTGACGAAGGGGTAGCAATTTAAGAGTAATATACAGTTGTCATACTAAAGATTTGTGACAATCTATTTGAAAACTCGGAACTTGAACTTCTTCACTTTCTGCAATATGAAACTGAAGGATCCCCGGCATTAGAGCAATATAGCAATATTGACTCAAGTGATGATTGCTACAAATTGCAATTATTAATATTTGTTGCTGAAGCTTATTTTCCCACACCTTCATACATTAAAAAATAACCAAAACTAATTCTGAAAGTCACTGTGAAAGTTACAAGGAAATCAAGTGAATATGTTGAGCAACCATTAGACTACTTGGTTCAGCAATTCTGGAAAATTGAAGAAACGACTGAAAAAAGCCCGAAATGAAGTATAAGCAAAAAAACAATCTAGCGGAAGTTTGAACTCTTGAAAACACAATTAAACACACGGGAGAAAGATACGAGATTGGTTCAGACCAAACTACAGAACAACTAATACATAGCCCTTACCACACTGATTTCACTCGATCGCCGACTAACTCAAGACAAGAACCTACGAAAGCTATACGAAGCGACCCTCGTAAAGGACCTCAAAGCAACGCGTGCGACCTTGAAAAATCAACAAACACTTAATTTGCAAAATGAGGTAAAATCAAATTGCTAGTGTGCGTTTTGTTGATAATGTTTCACTAAGTGCATAGTAACTGAACGAAAAAAAAATTTAGAGAACAATTCAAATAGAAATCAATCATAATCTAAATAAATTTAAATTGTATCCAAGAAATCATTCCAAAGGTTGCAACTGATGAATCTTCCATAAAAATTGATGAGAAATATTTTTCAAATTCAACTTTTACTGTTTTGAAAATTAAACCACTGCAAAATGAATTAGGATCTTGGTCTTGAACTTGATTCCATCCATAATAAAGCTGAACGCCTGAAAAGCAGTTTGGGATTTGCCATGATTTTCTGAGCAGGGTTAAAGGTCATGTTGAGTTTCGAAAAAAACCCTACGTAATATAAAGCAGAATTATGGCTTAAGACAATCTCTAATACTTTGCGTAAGACCTGGCTAACCCAACTTGGCACAGCTTATAGTGAAAGGGAGAGAGCAGAGAGTGTTTGAAAAAAGCCAAATAAATATGGTTGGACTACCATCATGAAAATGTTGGACCTTCTATAATTATCTTTCTTTTAAAAAGAAAACACAATTCTCAAAAAAAATATTACAAATGGGTTTTATTATTGAGCCAGTGTATTCATCTTTCTTTCTCTCATCTCATTCTTTCTCAAACAACAAATTGTGCAAAAAATTATTCTCGTTTTATGATTTTTTTGAAAGTTTTGTCAAGTTTTTTTCTTCTAACATTTCAGGGAAAATTTTATTTGGTCTACTAGGCAAGATAAAATCTGAGACAAATATTATACACAAATGACTCGGGAGACATTACTGTCGGAATATCCCAACACGGTTCGCGCTCTGCATAAGCACGATTACATCCCTCCTGATTTTCATACAACGGGATTGACTCGCAGCCATACGCGAAGATATTTCTTCTGGGAGAATGGTCGAGCGCGGTTGTGTCGTCTTTTCTAATGCCGGATAGCTCTCTTTAATAGTACAACTCTCGTACATTCTTTCTCGGTTCTGTCGAAGTAGATCGATAAGATCAAGGAAGTAGTTCGGTAGCAATATGTGACTTATTGTAGTCCATTCTTCGTTTTGATTACCGTCGCTTTTTCGGGGAGCCAAATTTCTCTCTCTCTCTCTCTCTCTCTCTCTCTCTTTCCCTCTCTCTCTCTCTCTCTCACTCTCTCTCTCTGTTGATGGATGACTGCAATCGATTCTCTCGTGTATGTCTGGTAGATAGCTGATCTTCCTGGATCAGACACTGATATTATTTGTAATGGACTAGTCAAGACTTGAAGATATTGTAAGTTTTTTTTTTACATAATATGACTGAATTACTGAAGTAAAACTGAGATAATGAAAAAATTAATAATGAGAATCAGATCAGGAAAAGGGTGGCTTGGCGCAATTAGGTCAAAGCTAAAGATATTAGACGAGGCTATCAATTTTTTTAAATTCTTTTACTGATGACGCCTACGGTCATGTTAAGAATGCATATGGAAACCCGACTTTTGAGATTTACGTGATAGTTTTATTGCAGGGGCTACGGGCGAAAGCACTCAGGTTCAAAACTTCTTGTTAGTTTGCAAGACATTCTTTGTCATGCTGTTAAAGTTTCACTATCATTCATTATCATAGCAGTCATTAAATTAACTGTCTTTTTATCTGAAAATTTGAAATGTGGGCAAAGTGGAAAAGAGCTCAATTGTCCTGTAAATTTTTCAAACACGATTTATTCTTTATCACCCGTCGGATCATGTAAGTACGATTTGGTTGTAGAATGGCTGCCAAATAGTGTTATCTTTTAATGCATAAATCATTTTGTATCAATTGCATTTTGGTGCACTTCAACAATTTTGGTTTCGCCTTAACAACAGAATCATTTGCAAGTTAAACATTGGGATCATTCGACAAAAATTATTTTTCAAAAACATTTTCATAGTGAACATTAAGAATCTATAGGGATAATTCGGGATTGTCTATAGCACTACAGCCATTGATCCTAATTAGGATGCCAGTGCCGTACAACTTTACTACTGATACTAAAAAAATTGAGTAACAAAAACTGTGGAAAATTAATTAGCATACAGCATATTGGCTTTCAAAATTGGCATTTGTACATTCAAAATGACATTTCGCTTACAATTTGGACAGTCGTGAAAATCATGGAGCATTTTGGGAGTGTTTCCCTTTTGGCGGCCGGAAAAATTGTGCTCGATAGGTTTTCGTGTCGATGGTAAGTCAAAAATGCATGCCGCACATTGTACCGAAGTATTAACGAAAAAAATTTGAAAGTTATTCATTTAGTACTGAATGTTATGAGAGTATTCTTGCACAGAGGTAACGGGAACATACGGTTTGCTTCATGTTTTTCTTGTTTTGGCAGTAATTTGTAATATTGATGATTCCACCCCTACTCATTGAGCTTCATAAATGGAACTTTATACGCATGCATACCTAGTTCAGTCGTTTAATCAAATTGCCAATTTTCAAACACCAAGTTTTTGCCAAACCAATATTTTTAAATATCTTCTTAGTTATGATAAGAACTAATGGAATCGCTCTTTTTATTCGGTTATAAGAAATAAAGTCGGTTAAAACCCTTTTTTTCAATCGCTAACTTGATGGTGAAAAAAGCCACAAATCTTAAGTGCTTCAGTTTTTTTCTTTGAAATTGGGGCGTCAAGATAAGGACAACTCGCAAAAAGTCGAAGAAAAGTTTGTTACTCCAAAAGCTTTCGTGAAAGTATTGATATGCAGCAGACATTTTTTTGAAATACTTTTCGAAATATTTGATGTACGGATCTCCGTTTGTCGAAGATGCGCCAAAGGTGCAGCAAAAATAACCAAAATTAGCTTGATGAAGACATTTACTATATTGTAAATAATTGTTTTTTATTCTTGTACCATAACAACCCCGCTAGGTTGAACCAGAATCAGTTTTTAACGGCATAACGGCGGCGTGCCATGAGTCAAATTTTGGATAGCCGAAGATGAAATTTCTAGCCGGATAGCCAAAAATTGATTGAAACTTACTGGTTTAGGTCGGCCTGGTCAACATTTGCGCGGCGTTGACTGATCGGTTCAAGCCATTACAAGTCACTGTGGGCCTGGCCACTAGTTAAGTGGCAATTATTGCTCGTGTCAAACCATTTTTTGCTTAATTGTTGGCTATCTAGGAAAAAACTTTTCGGCTATCTGAGAATGCGGCTTTGTGGGAACACACCATTAAAAAACACTAGGAGAAATAACACCAATTACAATTTTTGTTTCATAGAAACACAGCCTCTAAAAACAGTTACTTACTTGTCCGGAATCGAATGATTCTTGGAGCCACTGGAACCCATACAGATTTTCGCGGTTGAAGATGTTCTGGCTGAGTAGAGATGCATACTCGGTCATAGTTCTGACTTCGACTATCCCCTCCTTCAGTTGGCCGACGTAAATAGCGTCCCGGAAAAGCCAGAGGCGTCCACGGAAATGAAACACTCCAGACTTTATCTGATATGAACCAAAGCTCATGTTAGGCGCAATTTTGAGCATTCCCAAAAACCTGTGAAAAAACTTTTATTAACCAATGTAGGCCACACCCTTTTCCCCCTCCTCAACTTCCACGCTAATTTTCCCATAATTGGATACCATAAAATGAAGAAGGAAAGCGGTTTTTACACTTCCCTGTTTGTGTGTGTGTGATATATTCACACACACAAATATATATTCAAGTTGAGCATATTTTACTATAATCGGGGGAAAGCTATGAAGAGCGGATGGCATATCGGTCGAGTTATGCACCATATTTTGTCTTATTTATCGTATTCCCACCACTTGAGATTTAAACCCCTTGAAAATTACCCGATTGGTTCGGCTCGCGTCATAATTACCCAATTAGCTGAAGCTGGAAGTAACTTTTAAACTTTTTTTATATTTTTTTTGGATATGTTTTACTGATCGGGATGAAATCCGTTTTTTTTTCAAATTTGCAAAATTTGAACTTAACCTCAGTTATTTTTCGTATACTAACATAAGAAATAGTCGTTTATTTAGGGGAGATGCATATTACTCGTTCTTTCAATTGAACTAAAAAAACTTACCAGGGTAATGGATTTGTCTCAGTAACTGTTTTTTTACCGACCCAGTGAGCGTGGAACCATTTATGCGAGGAAAACTTCTATTACTTGTTTTTTTCCCAGTTAACTTCAGGTTCGTCTCAAATTTGTCGGAAAAATTCACTCAACCAGTTCCTTCGACGTAACCCTTAATCTCAGTTGGTAGTTATTAGCAAGGAAAAAACAATGATTCCAAAAAACCGTCACAAAAATCCAATTTGCGACTATAACGTGTACCACAAAAAAGAGCGCACCGGCATATGCGGAGAAAATTTCAAAATCTGTTTTTTGATTGAACCAATAAACTGAGACTTGGCAGGGCAGTTTTCGAGAATAAGAGCGTACAACAAGGACGTACCGGCTTAAGCAGAGAAGAAGCCTATAACGTGCTTTTCAAATGAACCATTAATCTGAGAATTGGCAGGTTAGTTATGGAAAAAGAAGTCTAAAACTTTCCAATGAATGGTCAAAAAATCAACTTAAACTTGCAGGGTAATTATTGAAAAAAAAAAAAAAAAAGTTTCCAATGTACCGTCAAAAATCAATTTGATTTCTCCGAAGGCCATTAATTTTTTTCTAATAATATTTAAGGGACAGCCGTCTATACATTGTTTTGATCAAATTATTTAGTAGGATAATTTTCAAAAAATATATCTAAGCTTTTTTTTGAGCTCAATCGTTTTTTTGAGCTGAATCTATTTGGATTGGATAATTTGTTTAAGTAATATTTAAAAAAAGCTCAAAAAATATCAAAACATTAAAAATTTCCGTGTGCCATTAATTTTGATTTGATAACATTTCGGCGTAGCCGTTAATGAACGGGAACTTTTCACAACCCGTTTTTTCCACTGAACTAAAATTTCCAGGTGGGTAGTTTGGAGCAAAATCAAACAGTTACACAAATTGGTTAAAAAAGACTTTTCCCGAGGATCTTTTTTGGATCTTAAAATGTGAAAAATATTGGAATAGCTGCTTATGCAGGATAACTTCCCATAAACTGTTCTTTCGATTGAATTCAATATCTTAGATTTAGTAAGGTAGTTTTTGTATTTAGTTTTATAATAATTAAAGAAAAAACCATCAAAAAATCAAACTTTTGCAGTTCCGAGGGCCATATTTTTTGTTCTAGCGTCATTGGGCGTAGCTGCTCTTACAGGGGAGATTTCCACAACTCATACTTTCGATTGGACCCGTTTTTAAAAAATGACCGTTTCTAAAGCCTTAATAAATTTTGTTCTCCAACAATTTATCTGATCAGATCGCTGTTTAGACTGATCGAATTGAAAGTGATCTCTTCGTTACCCCAATTTTGCTCTTTTTTTAGAACTTTTCAATTAGAAAATTAAGAGTAAGGCCAATATTATTATCGTTCAAGGAAATGCACGAATCTATCAAGCCAAAACATGATGCTGTGACAAATAGACGGTGCCCCTTTCTTTTGAAAATGCTCGGATGTTATGTTACAAAAGGTGATAAATCGGATTTCTATTTCAGCATAGTGCGTGCTTTAAATTTGAAAGTTGTAATACATAAAAGACTCATTTCAATTTCAATCAATTATATTGCATCTTTGATAGTTTTTCAAAAGCACCCGCATCCAGTTTCAAGTGTTAATAATCAATTATATTAGGATTTTAGTACCAGTCTCACTATAATTGAGAAACAATCGATTTTAATCAATTAAAAATCGATTATAATCTCTCTTTTTAAGATCAAATTATAATTAATTATAATCCATTATAATCAATTTTTATCGATTATTTATTCGTCCATTTTTCGAAAAAATGATAATCGATTGTAATTGATTATAATCCATTATTTTTATTCAAATTTCTAACTCATTAGTTTTGCAGAAAATCCATAATAATCTATTATAATTGATTATAATTCCTTTTGTTTGTCCATTTTGTCTAAGAAGTTGCATCTAAATTGCTTATATTTTATGCTTTTTGTGAACGTTGGTTCCTATGAAAATTGAGAAAAATGATTTTGAGTTTTTCCACTCAATTCAAATTTATAAAGTTTTGTTTTTTCATTTCTTCCCCATTAGAATTGTTTTCACGCTTTTCAACCACCAAAACATCAGCAAGTTGATTTAGTTTCATGATTGTTTCGGGAGATTTATTTTTCATCTACCGTGGGAACTTTTCCATTAATATGAAAGGATCTCTATGAAACTTTTGTTTCGAGGTATAACTTTGCGTTCAGATGAACCAAAGTGTTCATGAGATCTCTCTTTCAGAGATTTTCTTATTGACACAAAAATAATAAGCCATAAGATTTAACTCGATTATAAATTTGAATTGACAAAAATTTGGCAAAATAAGAGATTATAATCAATTATAATCGATTATAATTGATTCTAAGGGTTTTTTGTAAGAACTATAATCAATTATAATCGGTTATAAGAGATAATAATCTCTTGGAAATTATCACGGTTATAATCAATTATAAATCCTTTAAAATCAATTATAAAAATAATGGATTACAATTGATTCTAAGGTTTTTTGTAAGAACTATAACCAATTATAATCGGTTATAAGAGATTATAATCTCTTGGAAGTTATCACGATTATAATCAATTTTAAATCCTTTAAACACCTAATTTTGGTAATTATAATCAATTATAATTGTCGAAAAATTACCATAAGAGTCCGTTATAACCGATTATTTACGCCTAAACTTGGATGCGGGCATTATTCTGCCTGATAAAAAGTTGATCAAAAATTCAAAACTTTCACTTTATGAAAGATTACTGAAATAAATTCTGAAAACTGTTAGAAGTATAACAAAGAGCGATCTAGCAATTTAATTTGAATATATCACCGTTTGTAATATATCAGCTCTGCTCGGTTAGTTCGCCTCTTCGAACATATTTTAGAATTTTTTCTTGGTGGTGATGATAAAAACCTTTCCAAAGAGCTTAAAATTAAATGAAAAACAATGTGATTAATGTGTGAACTCTAACCTGACATGAGATTTGTCGAACTGGTTCTCGAATGGAGTGTAAAATCCAGAGGGCAAAGAGTGCATCAAGCGAGGCTCGCCTTCTCTGTCTGAGGTAGAGAGAGGTAGGATGACACCATTTGCTGCAAACTCATACATTGGCACACTCTGAGGGTCTCCGAATGTACAAAGATCAACGTCGCAGCACTCTTGCAAAAACGTGTCCCAACTACACACCTGAAAAAATAACGTAGGCAAACTCAATTTAGTGCACATGCAAAAATAAAAAATAGCCAACTGGCAGTTGGAAAAGAGACAATGAACCCAAATGAATAAAACAAATGGCTAGCTTTTAGAAAATCAAAGCTTTCGACTTTGAAAGGATAAAACAGATGCCCTTAAAAATATTTGAATTCTAGAACAATTTATGAGTGACACTTTTTTTGATTAAATTAAGTTAATTTAAGAAAACTGAAAATTTTTTATGTAAATGTTTTCTTCCGCTGGGAGATCTGAAATTAATTTCTTGATTCAAAAGTAGAAATCAATCAAAGTTTTTGAGAACTTTACACCTTCGCTGTTTGATAGTGAGTTTACTTTCCTTTTAAGTAACGAAATGAAGTCAAAGTTAAAAAAAACACAAAGTAAATTTGAAAAAATTTTAAAACTTGATTGAAGAAAGCGAAAAAAATCATCAGCACTTACAAAAGGGGGGTCTAAACAATTTTCATCGACTCTTCACAAACTTGATCATATGTTACTAGCTTCAAAACAAGGACGGCCGGTTGCTATGCAAGTTGCACAGAATGTTTCGACCATATTCGTATAAAAACTGAAATTAGAAATGTGGTATGACTTTAAAAACTAAACAATTGCGTAGAAATATAGTCAATTCGACATAATCGGACACGTTTTTCTTTTAAAAAACTTTTTTTTTTCCTATTTCTATTTCTTTGAACAATAGTTTTAAGTTTCTTTTGGAAAATGTTTGTAGCCAAGGAAGCGCAAAGTCATAATACATCCAAAAATATAGTTTTTTTTTGTAAACTTAAGTTTTTCTAGCCTAAAAATCAAATTAAAATAAGTATCTCTGTAAAAATTGTTACATCTAGAAAAACTCGATAATGAGTTAAAAGTCGAAAATTTGAAACCAGTTTTTCTCAACACTGCGACAACTTCTTGAAAAATTTTATTTCGTTCAAATGACGTCTGAAAGGTGTTAATTTTTTTTATTATGTTTCGATTATTAATTGTGGTACTTAATTTTGGGTGAAAAAATAATAAAACACCCGAATACAGTTCTTCCTGATTTTCAAAGGTCGGAACACAAAGAAAAACAAGGGAAGCTCTATGCACAGATAATTAATCTACCTCAGTAGCGGATTTAGGAAGGGGATGAAAAGGCTGACGACTCTTTCTGAGAACTGGAAGCCGTGACTGCAGAAAAGGTCCCACTTTGGTACCATTTTACGAAGTTCATTCTTTCTCAACTGAAAACCAACCAACCAACCCTTTTTATTGTCTACGGGCGTCTTTGGCAAAGCAACGCTAAACTTTAAATATTTCTGACAATTTTTTAAATTCTATCGAGAGCTCAAAAATCGGAAATTTGACATTGATCCCCCAACAAATCGTAGATACACACCTGGTCGCGCTCCAATCATTATCGCTTGATTGTCAAAAAAAGGCCGAAGCCTATTCTTGCAGTTATACATAAACATTAAGCAAGAGCAGTATGGTACCGAACGAGAGGGAAGGGCGATTGCTCGCTCCCTCTATTCAAGCTGATAATTTTTCTAAAAGGTTCCTTCTTCTGTACTTTTTTCACGATCCATTTTTGTGGTCGGTCTTAAAATGCTATAAAATTGTGGTCTATTTGTGGTTTCGGCAAATCTCATGAAAAATCTATTGATAGCTGACATAAAAAGCGTTATCCAAATTGAGCAAGATATACTTGTTCTACATATGTACATGTGTGGTAGATGGGTGCCTTTAAAAACAAATGAGAGGTGTCCCACATCACATTACTTCAAAGATATTACAGCTATCAAATATGTCAATACATCGATCGAAGATTTTCAAGGCTTTTTCTGAAAGGTAACACGCCAGCCTCAATTGCGCTTGTCTATTCGAGGCTTTGGTTGACCTCACTGAACTAATAAAAAGAAAACTTTTTGCGCCACTGTATTTACATTATAGACCCTGTTAGTTTTTAAGACCCCTCTGTCACATTTGTTGCTCATATGTGTAAGTGTACTTTACCGTATAAGGTCCTATTTGCTTCGAATAGTCGTCTCTAACTGCGTTGAAAGGTGACTCCCTCCCTTGACCCTCATATTCGTCTCCTGTAGTGGTCATGAAGTGCATGTTTTTCATCATGGCTGCTGTAGCATACTTCATTTTGTATTTTTCTCTGATTTTGTCTAATGCCTCTGGTGGTGCTATATCCTCTTTCTTCATTTTATCAATTGGCGCAGTTACTTTAGATTTCGTACTCTTGCTGGCTGCTAAAATTGTGAAACGAATTTTTACCAGACCGATTTTTTACCAATTCTTTAAAACATCAGCGTTTAACCAGATTTGAATGAAAAGTTTGAAAGATCTTTACGAGGCCAAACTGTGCATTGGATTTCACAGACAAGTCTTTAAACATGCTCAAAAATGTAAGTGGGTTCCACTTACAAAACTTCAGTGGATTCCGCGTACAAATACCTGCAACGTTAATTTAGTCAGTGCATTAGTTTTGTTGCGGACTCCACAACTAGCGAACATAGGTAATTGGTTGTTCCGGATTCCGCATATGTACACGGATTCCGCAAATGTATGTGAATTACGCAAGTTTATGCATATTACGCTTACAATTTGCAGATTCCGCTTTCAATTTGCGGATTCCACAGTTAAAGATTTCACGACAACAAGTTTTTTAAACTCATATATTATTATTTGATTATAGATTCCACAAAGTATTCTGAATTTCGCAAACTTTGGTGCGAATTCAACAAATTTTGTTGTGGATTCTTGCCTGTTTTTGGAGCAATGTTGAGCAATACAGTGTTTTAGCTTTTTGTAATGGTAATGGTGGAATCGGTTTACCTTTGGTGGAATCCACTTACAATTCACAAAAGCACAGATAGGCCTAGTAATGATGTGATATGCCGTTCATCCAATATTTATCTTACAATTGCATTTAATTCCTTGGATACATTGGATGAAAACCTTATGACAAGCTTTTTTATTCAATGGAAATGTATGACAAGCAAATTTTCCATACTATGGAATTTCTGACAAACATTTTTTCCCTTGTATGTAACTATTTTGTGTTTTGCAGTATATTTGTTTTTCACCCATAAGTTTTCTTGAATGAAATGCAGATATAACTACATATTGCTAGATGCTCAGTCAGAAAAAAATTGAATTTCACTCAAAATATTGATGAAAAATGTAAACTTTTGTATATATCTAGGAAGCCTCTGTTACGCAAAAAGAGACGATCAGAATCGTGGCCTGTATTTCGGTTAGACATAGTTTATATCTTATTATCTAAAACTAAAAAGTACAAATTCTGTCACCACAAAGAACCTTCATGTTGACCCTTGGTTGTTTTATGTACACACACTGTGTATGGACCACGTAAGAAGCAAAAACTTGAACATTTTACATGCAAAAAAATTGGAAAATGCTTTTGCTTTGTTCAAGAAGCTCGTTTAGCGACTAAAACGGGAACTGAAACATTTCCTGGGGCTCAAATTTTTTCCAGGTAAAAAGAATGCTTATCATACAAAATTCATGAATGAAAACCGTATGATAAACTTTTTCCACAGAGCCCATGCATAGATTTGTATGATAAACTTTTTTTCGGGCATAATTGATCAAAAAGGAGAAAAGAGATAAGAAATGAGGAGTTAACGCATTTCAAAAGAACAAAACAAGATGCGAACAGATGAAATAGAAAAAACAATCATTTACTCGACAGTAAAACGAAAATCAAAAGATATTGAGTGTTTTTGTGGAACAGTTCGCACAGTAGTATGCATTTTTTACACTGGGATCGGGGGGGGGTTGTTCTTCTATGTGATGACAATGGAGTTTGACAAGCAATTGTCCACATGTATTATTTTGCATGTATGACAATAGAGTATGACAACCAATAGTCCCTATGCATTAGGTAGTGGTTTTCAATGGTACCTATGTTAAATTTTTCCCAAAATTTTTTTTCAAGTTTTTTTTTCAAAATTTGTTTCTCAAAAAATACTTTTCAGAAATTTTTTCTGAAAATTTTCAAATCAATTTCAATTTTTTTTTTAAATTTTTGCTTCATTTCGTCATGGCTAGTAGATGATTCCTAATTAACCCTAAGCATAATTAATGATCTCTGACCATAACTAATGATCCTATACACAAAAACTGGTCCCTACTTAATCTAATTTTTTATCCTTACCTATAACTATCGATCCATGTGCATAAGTAAAAAATCCTATGTAAAACTAATAATCCCTATGTGTAACTTATGTGTAACCTATGTGTAACTAATGATCCCTAAGTATAACTGATGAGTTCGATAGATAACTGATGATCCCTTTCTTTACATAAATAAATAACCTCTGTGATAGCTAGAGATCTCTGAGTATAACTTATGATCCCTAAGTGTAATGATTGATCCTTCTCTATAAACAACAATCCCTATGCTTACCAAATTATCCTTAGAATTAACAAATTCTATGTGAGTAACACTAATGATCCATGTGTATCACTTTTGATTCTTTCATATAATTAAGAACCCATATGTATAACTAAAAATCCTAATGTATGGCTAATGATCTCTACTTATAACTGATGAATTCGATATATAACAAATGAATCCTTCTGATAACTAAAAATCCAAATATAAGACTAATGATCCTTCTGTGTAACTAATGTTATCTATACATACCGAGTGATCGCACTTATACCAAACTTGAAGATTTTGTAGGCTAGCACCAAACTTGCTAGCATGCACTGCATAAAAAGATGAACAGAGCAAGGAATCAAGAGAGGCAAAGATGGATTGATGGATAGTTGGCCTAATTGAAAATTCAGTTGATGGACAGGTAGATTGATGAACCGATGGAGGTCTGGAGGGACGAATGGATCGCTGGATACAAATGGACGACATACAACTCGCTGAATTGCTGGTTGGATGGCTTGATGTCTGAATGAGAAGAGGGTTGGATAGATATCTGGATGACTCGCTGGAAAACTGGATGGCTGGATGGTTGATCGATTGAAGGATGTGTAGCTGGATAGGTTGCTGATTGTTGTAATGGTTGATAAGTGTCTAGATAAAGGAATGTCTTGCTTGAGTGCTGGCTCGATGGATGGATTTTTTTTTACTTGATGAATGAAAGAATGCTTTGATAGAGGGCTGGCTATAATATTGGATGATAGAAAAACAGGTCAGATGGTTGGATAGATAATTCATTGGGTGATTGTTATAATTGATTAGTCCTCTGATAGATGGATCGCTAGATGGATGGATGGTTTGGTGCATAAATCAACCGTTCTTGCCACCGCTATAAAAGCATTTTTCAATTTGTTATGCATGAAATCTGAAATAATTTTAAATATAAAAATTCGATACATGAGAACTGCAGAAAATGTTGCTAATTTATCTCAATCAAACCTAAGTTTCTTTAAATTTAAGTAGTGCATTAGTTTTGATTTGTTTGCATAGAAGAGGATTTTTCAAAAGACAGAAAAATAGCTTCTAACTATAAATGTTGGCCGCTGTTTTCCAAAAGTTCAATCAAAACTATCTTTATAAAAAAAAGTTGGCATAAAACTTCCGGTTTTGAAGGATGAAACGATTGACTAAAACAAGTTAATGGCACAAAAAAAATAACTATCTGCTCCTGTTTGAAGCAATTTTGTTGATTGTGTTGAACTTGCGTTCCACTAATTTTTACGTTGTCATTTTACTAGGTCAGCAGAATCGACAGCAATTATCTCAGTATTCAAGTACAACATGGTTTTCTCGGCTTTCAGCGCATCAATGATTATCATTTTTTCGATATTTACCCATTGGTTGATCCTTGTCGAGGTCGTCCATTGCTTTTCTTGTTCGCATCAACAAATCCAGGAACTCGAGTTCGTTTTCATTGAAATTAGATTGATTCTTTTTTCGACTTTTCAGTGAAGGAAGTCTGAGCTGCTATTTAACTTGACTGATTGCTTTATTGTGGTTTTGTAGCTGAAGAATCAGCACCAATGCTAGCGTTAGTATTAGTAGCGGCACATAGTAGAAGTACGAGGAAAAATTTCATTCATTCTTGTAATAAACAGTCAGAGTTTGCGGTTTGACGGTGATCGGCAACTGAACTCAATTTTTTTAACTTCATTTTAGGCATAGGGTTAGAATTGGTGTCTGTAACAAAGAAACGTTATGTAATCAAAAATTCTAGTTTGAGCTCAGATCTGCATAACATAGATCAACTTTAGAGCATATTAAGAATAACTTGTCTCTACGGTAGCGTTTTTTTCTGAAATTCTCAAGCTTTCGATCAAATGTTGAAAAACATTGATTTTGCAGTTAAATATTTAAGCAATTGTTGAAGCCGAAAAAGCACAAAAGAAAAGTATTTTTCTCCCAGGTCGTAAAATTTACGACTCAGTCCAATTTTGCAATCCAACAAAAATTGATATAACTCATCCAGATCCGTCACTAGACTCGCTGAGATGAAGTCTATTAGACCGTTCGTGTCGTTCAATCTCTTTCGTGTGGATTATTCTCTTCAATTTCAATTTTTTCAGTTTCAAATGTCAATAAAACAAATATCTGATGAATCACAATCTAAAAAACAAGGAACAACTAGGAACCATTGTACAAGGTATCATACCTCCATGATAAAACATCAATCACATCTTTTAAAAGCAATGAAGTAAATTTTTTGTTTGCTTTTCCATCTAAAAAATAGCAACGAGTCTGATTGTCCGCTTCCATTTGTGTCAATGTTAAATGATTAGATGCTGTCGCTGTCATTTTTCGCAACTGAAATGGTCAAGGTCACAATCAAACAATCATCAGATAATCATAACCATACACTTACACAAAATATCAATATTACACATCAACGCTACTATACAAAAACGTAATACTCAATACCTATCCTAAAACCTAAATCCTAATATTTTAAAAGAAAACGTAGTAACTAGTAGCGGCACATACTAGAAATACGTGGAAAAAGTTTCTTACAATCTTCTAATAAACAGTCAGAGTTTGAGCTTCGACGGTGATTGGCAACTGAACTCATTTTTTTGTTCATTTAATGCACAGGATTAGAAATTGTGTCTAACAGAAAGAAACATATCACGTCGTCATACTTTCTTTGTTGGGCTCGGAGCTGCATAACATTGATCAGCTTTCCGATATTTTTTTCTTTTGATGGAATTATGCATTTTTGTCTCTACGGTAGGATTTTGTCTTGAAGTTTTCAAGCTTTCGATCAAATTTTGAAAAACATCGAATTTGCAG